GACAGAGATCCTACATGAGGAGTAAGTGCACAGTGACTCCTGTTGTTGACTTAACAAAATGACACTTTTGTATATGGCGTCAGTAATTTCCCTAAGCTCTTGTCATGAGTTGCCAAGGCTATGGAAGCCTTTTGAGTTCGCTGACTTTGATCTTATTCAGACAAGGTCATAGTCAAAGTGGAGGTTCATGCCTCCCTTCAGAGAAAGGTACCTCCTTCTTTGATGGCCTGTTCTTTCCACTGGGATCTCACTTGCAGAGATCTTTCATTAAGGTCCTCTTTTTTTTTTTTCCAGAGTGTCTTGGCTTTCCATGCCTAAAATACTCTCATGGGCTCTTCAGCCAGATCCTAATGCCTTAAGGGCTGATTGTGAGGCCAGAGTATAAAGCAGAAATTTTAACAAATACTTCTGATTTTCTCAACATTGGCTACTGAATTAATGACAACGTGAGTCTTCATGGGTTTTTCACCTCTTTGACAACCACTTACAGTACTTAACAGCTTTTCCAAATTTATCAGTTGGTGTTTTTCAACACATGCACTGGATTTTTCCATTTTAGTGAGCATTGAGTTACCTGTTACAGGATTTTAAAAAATTGCATTCTAATGGCACATGTAATCAACATCTCCAAAGCTTCCAAATCACACAAACAAAACCATGAATCTTTTATGAGATTTGTGGCAATTACAAACATAATTAAATATTAAGTATGTAAGCATTAAAATTGAATTATTTATTGAATTTATGCTTGACAGTGAGTAGCAACAGGGACAATTTTTTAAGTAAAATTGATGAGAATTACTTAAAATCAAAATAAGAATCTATTCTTTAGTCTCAAAGACATACAAGAAGTAAAATACCACAGAAAGTTTAAGATTCAGTAACAGCAAAGAGACTTGGTGCTATTTGAATCCAGATCTGCTTTCTTCTCACTCTTCATGACACAGTGAAACATAAATACAGGATCCCTCTCCTTTCTGGTGTTATTTGCCTCTAAACAGGAAACCTTCCTCCTGGATTAGACAGAACCTTTCTTAGGTCCTCTAGTAACTTCTCTTTGTTTTAGACCCTGTGTTTAATCTCCTTTCATTTTCTCCGGACTTGAAACAGTGAAATTCTAGATGGCCAGGCACACAAAACCTTGGATGGAGGCAGTTTCTGCAAGCTGGCACTGCGTCCCCCTCCATAGGCCACCTCCCGTTGGAACCCTTACTTGACTGCCATCCCCTACACTGCCCTTACTCAGCTTGTAGAATCCAGAGTGGTCATTGTCCCATACCTCCTAACAAAAGTTAGGGTCCATTCTTCTGGGGGAGGGAATGTGAGGAGTCAGAAAGGTTAATAGGCAGTCAAGGTGGTACTGAAATCTCCATATTATCTGTTACCACACTACTGAGTATCCAATCAAAATAGGTGAAAGCAGGGACTAGAACAGATATTTATACACAGGTGTTCACAGCAACATTATTAACAATAAACATAGAAGAAACCCAGCTTTCTAGGAAAAGATAAATGAAAATAGAATGTGTGGTATATACAAATGTATTAGTTTAATTTCTGTTGCTAATGTTGCATTAAGAAAGACCAAGTTACAAACAGAAAAGATTATTTTTGCTGACAGTTCTGGTTGAAGGGTAAGGAGCTGCATCTGGTGATGACCTCACTGGCAAGTTCTGGAGGAAGCACAGGGCATCATCACATGGTAACAGGGAACATGTATGAGTCTCTTTCGGTATCTCCTTGTATTCTTTTAAAGACATGACATGAAAGTTCCACCTTGATGATCTCCTCTAATCCTAATCACCTCCCAAAAGTCCCAGCTCTCAGATTAATTTTCCACCCTTAATGCCTCTCAATGGGAAATTAACCCCAAAGTGATATTCAAATGAGAGCAACATACAATTAAATATACCTGGAATTGAAGAGTAAGATAATTTTTACACATACTAAAATAAGGATATGCCTCAAAGACTAGAAATGGCCCAGTAGGAAGAATACAAATATAGTATGATTCCACTTATATGAGGTTTCTTAAGTAGACAAACACAATAAAGAAAGTAAGTAGTGATTGCCAGGGTCTCTAATGGAAGGGAACAGGGAATTAGTTTTGATGCACTCAAAATGTTACTTGGGGGAATTTAAAAAATTCTGTAGATGGATGGTAATTGTTGCTGTGTAATACAAAAATATTTAATACCACTAAAATGTACACTTAATATATCCAATATTTAGTTATGTATTTTATTACAATAAAATGCTTTCTACCAACTATGAATCACAGTTCTAGTCCATAATCACTTTAATGATAGATTCATACATCTATTTTTTTAAGATTTATTTATTTGAGAGGCAGAGTTACAGAGAGAGGGAGAGACAGAGTGGCATCTTCCATCCACTGGCTCATTTTCCAAATGACCACAATGGTCAAAGCTAAGATGAACTGAAGCCAAGATCCAAGAGCTTCCTCCAGATCTCCCACCTAGGTGCAAGACCCCAGATGGGTCATCTTCCATTGTGTTCCCAGGTCATAAGCAGAGAGCTGGATTGGAAAAGGAGCAGCTGGGACATGAAGTGGTGACCATATGGGAAGCCAGCACCAAAAGTGGAGGCTTAACATTCTACATCACAGAACCAGCCCCCAGAAATCTATTTTTCACTACTAATTTTTAAGAGCAGAGCACAAGACAACAGAATATAGAATATGCCAATTAAATGAGTTTGAAAGAATGTCAAGTAATTTGGGGACTACAAACATACAATTTCATATTAGCACAAACTACATATAGGATCATAAAACGTGTAAAAAGTGCAATTTATTTAAAAATTACTTATGTACTTTTTCATTTTTGCAGTGTTTAAAGACATATTTAACCAAGTAGTTTACAAAATTTTACTAAAATTTAATGAAAATACTAAGAGCTTCATTTAATATTTACTTCATTTAATACTTATTTACAAATGGCAACAAAACATTCCTTACCCTGTTATAATAAAATGGCTGAAATAATATACCCAGTGTTATTGTAAACCAATAGGTGTTGAGACAAAAAATTATAGAGATGCATAAGGAGCATTTCTAGGTGTATGAAAAATGGTATTTAGAACATCCACTGTATTACAAAGTCATGTTCTATCTGTAAGTTACAGTGATGCTCCAAAGACTAAGCTGTAGTATTTGCTAGATTCTCTTTCAACATCTATTGAGCATAACACCATGAAAGACCAATGCTACATCAGGGTAAAGCCCAGAGCTTGGAGACCAATTCCAGTCTCCCATGTGGATGGCAGGCACTCAAGTACTTGAACCATCACCTTGCTGCATCTCATGATGTGCATTAGCAGGAAGCTGGAATTGGAAGCCAAATCACTTGATCCCAGACATAGATGACATGTGGGCTTCCCAAGCTGTATCTTAACCCCTGTGCCAAACATGCATCCCACATTTTTCTTTAAAAACAAATGATAAATATGACATTTCTGCTACAATAAGTGTAATTATTTAGCTAATTTGCTTCCTGTTATCAATCAGATAATAATCATTTTTAAAGATCTATTTCCATGGCACATTCTTCAACCCCTCACCAGGCACATATATACACTGTTGTCAAGAGCTACCTCAGTCTTTCACATGGGGTTCACACTTAGTGGCAATTCCATGTGGTACCTCACATCTGCTGGTGTTTAGCAGTCAACACAGAATTGCTGAAGAGAGATGTCTGACAGCTACAGAACATATCGTGAAGGCCCACAGCAGGTGTCACCATAATGTGAATTTTGTCCAGCTCTTGGAAGAACTTAAATAGAATTGGATAAATGGTGAAGAATCAAAGGAGGTAGAAATTCAAGACACTAAGTGCAAAAGAGGCAGGGATTTTAAAGAAATCACCAATCATTGCATGATCTTTTTAAGTTTCTCCTTTTTTTTTTTTTTTCAAAATCTCAGTACAGTCATGGCATCTAGTGCACCTGTGATTAGAACACACATGTTTAAATAGAGGAAATGTCATGGCATACGAACCATGATGGAAAATAAGGCTCAGGTTACTGATGGGTAGGGAGTCTGCCAAATCTGCAGCCATATTGGATACCTTTAGCTGGCACAATTCTGACAGTTGCATGGAAAGGCTATGGTTTGGGCAATGTGGAGCTGCAACTAAAAGTGCTGCTGGTGGCTGTGTGTTCCTGATGCTCACTAGCTACCTTCCATATCATGTCAAAACAGTTTAATGAAATAAAATAGTGATCATAATCATGCCAGATGAATCTAATCTAGACCGGATGCAATTACAAACAGGATTAAACCAGCACAACAAATTGAAAGGAAAACAATCCAAAGAACAAAAGCAAATGTAAACAGGGATGTGGCCACCAATGTGACACAATAAATCTGCTGTAGACAATGCCACCATGCCATACTGATGTGCTGGTTAGAGTCCTGGCTACTCTGCTTCTGAAGCAGCTCCCCACTAATACACACAAGACAACAAATAATGGCCCAATTGCTTGGGCCCTTGGAGACCAGGATGGAATTAATGACTCCTAACTTTTGTGTGGCCTAGACTTTGCTGTTGCACCCATTTGGAGAGTAAAGTCCTGAATGGAAGATCTACCTCTGTCAGTGTCTTTCTTTGCATCTCTCTCACTTAGCTCTTCTGAAGAAAATTTAATTTCAAAACAAATAAATCTTTGAACAATTAAATATTGGAACAGAATCAAAGCCAAGAAGACTGCCTGAACTTTTAAGTCAGCAAAACACTGCTCATATCTCCCTCTTCACCCCTATAAACACACATCTGGTAATTTGGGCAAGACCTACAGAAATACAAGTCTGGGGTTCTCATGACTACAGAACTCACTAGAAACTCACTCCCTACTACTGACAGAATACTCATAATCCAGACCTGGAAGTATGTAATTATGCTTGATACAGGAGTTAGGTGACATGCCTATACCAGCACAACAGTTACACACACAAAAAAACTTCATAATTGATGAAAATGTTATTTCAAAAAAGTTTTATTGACTGAAAATTTATTTGTTAACAAAATACATGTGAAAAGCAAAGCTCCTTTTACATGGTCCACTCACAATATGTGAAGGGAAATATGTACATGGTATGTCACAGTGAATTTTGCAGAACATAAAGCCTGCTCTGTCTTTCAGTATTGCTCTGTCATGTGAATTTTCTAATACCTGCAGTGCTGTGATGTTCAACAAAAGGTTTTTCCGCATCCCTTTCACTTCTATAGTGTTTTCCTTATGGAATTCGCTAATGGATGTTATAGTTGGCCATAGACTAAAAAGTTACTCCACATCCACTGCATTCAGATGGATTTTCAACTGTGCCAGTTATATGATGGTCAAAGTTTGCTTATCGTAGAAAGCTATCCCCCATTCACATACTGTCTCAAAATCCTCTGAAACTTCATGCAAAGGATTACCCACATTCATTCCATTTTTTTTGATGGCTGAGGTCTAACTTCTTGGAAAAGACATCACATTCCTTGAATTCAAGAAGTTTCTATTATGTGTGAGTTGTATGATGTCTACTGAGGTGTGATCTCCTAGAAAAGCATTTTCTACATTCATTACATTCATAAGGTTTTTCCCCTGTGTGAATCTTCTGATGTGTAATGAGTTGTGACTTCCGGAAAAAGGCTTTTCCACATGTAGTACAAGAACAAGGTTTTTCCCCTGTGTGCATTCTATGATGTATACTGAGGGTTGATCTATGGCAATAGGTTTTTCCGCATGTATTACATTCATAAGGTCTCTCACCAGTATGAATTCTCTGATGTGTAACGAGAACTGACTTATGACAAAAAGCTTTTCCACATGAATTGCATACATAAGGTCTCTCCCCAGTGTGAATTCTCTGATGTTGAACAAGTTGTGACTTCCGGCAAAAAGCTTTTTGACATGTACTACATTCATATGGTCTTTCACGAACAGTGTGAATTTTCTGATGTTTAACAAGTTCTGACTTCCAGGAAAAGGCTTTTCCACATGTATTACATTCATAAGGTTTCTCCCCTGTGTGGATTCTCTGATGTATGATGAGTTGTGACTTCCGGCAGAAGGCTTTACCGCATGTTTTACATTCATAAGGTTTCTCCCCTGTGTGAATTCTCTGTGCAGTGAGTGGTGATTTCTGGCGAAAAGCTTTCCCACATATGTTACATACATAAGGTTTCTCACCCGTGTGAATTCTCTGATGTGTAATTAGTTGTGACTTCCAGCAAAGGCTTTTCTACATATATTACATTCATAAGATTTCTCCGCCATCTGGATTCTCTGACTTTTAATGTAGTCTGAATTCTGGTAAATAGTTTTTGCACATTCATTGTACTCATGGGGCTTGCCCCCATGTGTGTTCTGTGATGTATAGTAAGGCAGGATGAACAGCTGAAAGATTTCCCACAGGAGTTACATACATATTTTTTTCCTGTAAGTGTTGCCTGATTTAATTTAAAATCTGATTTGCAAATGAGAGTTTTCTCATGCCCAAAGGATTCACAGAGTTTCTCTCTGTGTGTTTGTTGAGGTTCATGGATGTAGACACATTTTTGGACAGTTTTTTCTTCAATCTGAGTTGTGTTTTCTACAATGACATATAGCTTGTTAGAGGTCTCTCCACAATGAACTTTTTTACTTTTTTTAAAAAGTAACTTCCCACTGAAGGTTGTCCCTTTTCTATTGTGCTCAAATGGCTGCTGCACAGTCTGAATCATATGATGCTAACTATGAGGCTCCCAGCATTGGAAGGAGTTTCCAGGTACATTAGGGCCATCCAGTTTCTCTCCCACTGGCATCTCATCAGGCACCCTAAGGAGAAGCACATTCTGTAATAAATTATATGCCTGGGGTTTCCCTTTTTTATAACCAGTTATCAAATACAGCTTAAGTGTTTTCTTAAATCAACTGTCTTGTGAGTTAATATGTTATTGTTTGTGAATACAACTTGCCTCAAATTTATTTCTTGACTTTTCTGGCTGGTTCCAAACAGGTCATTCTTTCTGTTTGCAACTGAAATGAGAAAAAAAGTAACCAAATCCATGAACCACATCTAAGAGTTTCTTTTGGAATGTTAACACAATAGTTCCTAACTCTCCTAGTGGATCCCATTTTAACACACTAGCAGAAGCTCATTTGTGAACATTATATACTTTTTTCTCCTCAATGTAAGTAATCCAGCTTTTCCAATGTTAAATTATTTTAATTAACTTAAATGATTTCTTTCAAGTAGTTTCTGTGTGGGGGTGGGGCAGCTGATTTGGTGCAGTGGATCAAGCCAGTTTGTGCATTGACTGCATCTTACAATAATCCCAGTTTGAGCCTTGGCTATTCTGCTTCCTATACAGCTTCCTGCTAGTCTATCTAGGGAAGCAACAGACGATAGCTCAGATGACTAACAGCCTTCCATATATTCAAAAAGCCTAGATGGACTTTCAGGCTTCTGGCTCTAAGCTGGCCTATTTCTTTTTTTTTTTTTTTTTAACTTTTATTTAACAAGCATAAATTTCCAAAGTACACCTTATGGATTACAGTGGCTTCCCCCCCTCCCATAACTTCCCTCTCACCCGCAACCCTCCCATCTCCCGCTCCCTCTCCCATTCCATTCACATCAAGATTCATTTTCAATTATCTTTATATACAGAAGATCAATTTAGTATATATTAAGTAAGGATTTCAACAGTTTGCACCCACACAGAAACAAAAAGTGTAAGGTACTGTTTGAGTACTAGTTATAGCATTAATTCACATTGTACAACACATTAAGGACAGAGATCCTACATGAGGAGTAAGTGCACAGTGACTCCTGTTGTTAACTTAACAAATTATAGTGTCAGTAATCACCTTAGGCTCTTGTTGCCAAGGTTATGGAAGCCTTTTGAGTTCGCCAACTCTGATCATATTGAGACAAGGTCCTAGTCAAAGTGGAAGTTCTCTCCTCCCTTCTAAGAAAGGTACCTCCTTCTTTGATGTAAGCTTGCCTATTTCTAACTGTTCAAGGCATTTAGGGAGTGAACCAGTAGTTTCAAGATATTCTGTCACTTTGCCTACAGGTAGATTAAAATCATTCAGTAAACATTTTAAGAATAGGGAAACACTTGGTAAAAATATTCACCCACTGTTTTCCTAGAGTAAGAAGCTTAGTGTTTTCCAGCAATCATGTTTTCCTTTTTCTTTTTCTCATTTTCTTCTTATTAAAATGATGTGTTTTATACTTCATTGCTAATATTCAGTCTTAGAGATAGGAAAACTTTATTGGATAACTTTCTTGCAGGTGCAGGAGAGACATGTGTCTGTCCTCTAATCAGCACCATAACTTAGCAGAATGATCTGTACCCATGCTATCTCTTATTAATTCTTTCAAGGAGAGTGACTAAGTTAACTGTGGGGTTTTTCATATGAAATATATCTTTTCATCTGCAATCTAGAATGACAGCTTTCCCCCATACTCCTAAAAAGCCTGATATCTTCAGCTTTTTGGTACTGGAAAATAGACAGAAAATTTCCAAAACACACAGTGACTTAAGGGAACAGGTTATGAAACACATTTTCTCTTTTGAAAAGTGTTTTCCACCTCATTCTAAAATAAACACACTTGGTATTCACCCCGTCCACAGTATATACACTTCTGCTTGATAAATCAAAATTCTGAAACCATTTGATTTCTTTTAAAAAAAATTATTTATTTATTTGAAAGGCAGAGTTATAGAGAGGCAGAGGCAAAGAGACAGAAAGAGGTCTTCTATTTGTGGTTCACTCCCCAGATGGCCACAACAGCCGGAGGCTATGCCAATCCAAAGCCAGGAGCCAGGAACTTCTTCCAGGTCTCCCACATGGGTACAGGGGCCCAAGGAATTGGGCCATCTTTTACTGCTTTCCCAGGCCATAGCAGAGAGTGAGATTGGAAGCAGAGCAATCGGGACTCAAACTGGCGCCCAGATGGGATGCCATCACTGCAGGCCGCAGCTTTACCAGCTATGGCATAGCACCAGCCCCATCATTTGATTTCTATGTTGGAAGAGCACTTGTCTCTGTTATTCATAGAAAATGCAACATTTTTGCATTTCTTTACCTCTTTCTTGTTTTACAATTATAATAAAAAAGACCAGGGCAGTATTGTAGCAAAGAAGATTAACCTACTTCCCGTGACACTGGCATCATATACAGGAGTGCTAGTTTGAGTTCCAGTGGCTCGTATCTGACCTAGGTCCTTGCTATTGCTCCTGGGAAAGCAGTGGAGAAGCAGTGGAAGACAGCCCAAGTACTTCAATCCATGCCATCCATGTGGAAGAACCCTAGCCATAGCAACTATTTGAGAAGTGAATCAGCAGATGGAAGATCTCTTTCTGTTTCTGTCTCTACTTCTCTTGGTCACTCTCCCTTTTAAGGAAATCAAATATATATTTAGAAAAAGAAGGGGGAATTCTAGGTAAAAGTCTCATCCCAAACATATGTGACCTGTTCAACATGAATCTGGGAGTTCACTTAGCCTTTTGAAACAGAATTTCCTGATTCTCTTGGGGGGAGTTTAGGACCACCAATTGCCATATTCTTATGCCAGATCCTGTTTAGCATTGTGATTTTTAATATCATATTAAAGAGGCTTCCTTTTGGACACCATTCATTATGTTCTTATTGATTGATTCTATTTATTCATTTGAGGGCCACAGAATGAGACAATGACAAAACAGAACATATCTCCTTTTCCAAGTTATCACAACAGCCCATGATTTTCTTATTTGAGAGAGAAAAAGAGATAAAGAAGAGACAGTGAGATAGAGACAGAGCTCACATTCACTCATTCAGTCCTTAAATTTGTGCACCAGCCAATGCTTGTGCCTGGCCAAAACCATGAATCTCTGCAATTAGTAACTAACCAGTGCCTGTGAGTGGCCAAATAAGCAGTGGAAGAGTTAATAAATACATAAATACATGTCTGAAGAAAAGCAGGGTGTGAAAGAAAAGACCAGAACAAGTTAGAATTTAGAGGATGAATCTAACATACAAAACAGCCTAATTAGAGCCGGAAAGAAATGACATTTACAGCATTTATGAAAATATTCACCAAAATCAGAAGGAAAACCTTGCCTTCAGTCTGCAGAATGCCTGTGTCTGAGAGGAGCTCTACACAATCAACATCTGCTGAGACCTTACTTTAACTCCTTTCTGTCCCAGCCTCCCTGCTCAGTGTGTAATGACTGACCTGAGAGACTCTGGTTTAGGGGTTCTATCACCATCCATGGCTCTGCTCCTTGCTCCAACTTCAAGATCACCTCAGGTTTGGAAATACAGTACCCTGTTAATGGGAAGTAATGCTGGACTTAGTTAAACCACTAAGTTAGACTCATTGAAGGACAATAGCTTGGTCCCATAAGTTGTGCAACAAAAATGCCAATTTGAATCCTTTCTCCACTCTTCATTGTCTCAAATCCTACATACTTACCACTAAACCTTGTAAGGTGTTCAATGTTTTGTCAAATTGGAAAAATACATTCCACTTCTGTATGACAGGAGAGTTTCACTCACCCAAGGACAGCAGGCTGCTGTAGGTCTCCAGCATCACATCCCTATACAAGGTCCTCTGAGCATTGTCCAGGTGCTGCCACTCCTCCTGGGTGAAGTTCACAGCCAGTTCTTCAAATGATACCAACATCTGTTGTAACAGCACATTTTTACTCAATATATCACCTCAAGGTCATTAGATGGGAAGACTGTTTATGTCTTATTTACTTTCTATACAAGATGCAGCTTACTTTGAAATATATATGGCAACAGAAAGCAAAAATCACAAGATAATCTCTTGCCCCTAAAATAATTTTATCATTCTCAAATTATGACAATAGATTTTCCTTATTATTTTAGAACTGACCTTTCTTCTACAATTCTGAAACAAGCTCATGTTGTAATCTGCAGACATTAGTATAAACACATGGCTGAGTTAGTATATTAGTCAAACTATAGGAGAACATCAATAATCAGGGAGACAATTTTATTTAAAAAAAACACATTGAGGGCTAACACTGTGGTACAACAGGTTAAAGCCATGGCCTGCAGTACTGGCATGCCATTTGGGTGCCACTTCAAGTCCCAGTTACTCCAGTTATAATCCAGCTCTCTGTTAATGCACTGTTGCAGCAGAAGATGGCCCAAGTTCTTGCACCCCTGCAACAATGTGAGGGACCAAGAAGAAGTTCCTGGCTCTTGTCTTGGGCCTGGCCCAGCCCCATTCATTACAGCCTTTTGGAAAGTGAACCAGCAGATGGACGGTCTCTCTCTGTTTCTTCCTTTTTCTCTGTAACTCTGCCATTCAAATAAAAAAATCTTTAAAATTGTTTTTCTTTATTATCAGGTAGCAGCTCACTGAAATACCAACTAAGTTAAATTTTGTGTATGAATTATTCACATGATTATGATGAAACCAGTTAGTTGGTAAAGCACAAAAAACATAGGCCAAGTAATAGGGCTAAGAACTCTACCATTTCTGGTTAAGTAGTCCTGGGCTATGAGAACAGATAATGTCAGTAGAGGTGTTTATGAAACTAATAATGAAGTGGTCCTTAAATGTTTGACCTAATTCTAACAATAAAAATTTTTGATTTTGTTATTTTTATAAAATTATTTATAAAGTATCTTCATAAACATCCTAATATTTCCTCTCAAAATAATCTATTTGTACATGAAAATGATTGTTTTCTTGCTAAAACACAGGGTTTTTTTTTTTAAATAATTTTTTTTTGACAGAGTTAGACAGTGAGAGAGAGACACACAGAAAGGTCTTCCTTCCATTGGTTCACCCTCCAAATGGCTGCTATGGCTGGAGCTATGCCAATCCAAAGCCAGATACCAGGTGTTTTCTCCTGGTTTCCCATGAGGGTGCAGGGACCTAAGAACTTGGGCCATCCTCCACTGCCTTCCTGGGCCACAGCAGAGAGCTGGACTGGAAGAGGAGCAACCATGACTAGAACTTGGCACCCATATGGGATGCCGGCACTGCAGGTGGAGGATTAACCAAGTAAGCTATGGCACCGGCCCCATAAAAACACAGGTTTTAACTAATGGAGACCAATTACATGTAATTATTTGAATAGATGTGTAATTTAAATATCATTCCCATAGAGACAAATGAGAAAGAACTAAATTGTACAGGGGAAGAAAAAAGAGTGAGATGTGACCATTGACTATCAGGACACAAAGCAATAAGACAACAGAACAGCAAACTCAGTACCTGTAAGAAAAAAAAAATGGAAAAAAGTAAGAACAGAATTCACTACTGATTTAATTTGCAGAGGGAGAAATGCACTTTAATTCCATTCTATGTACATGAGGAGTGAGATAGAAACTGGCATTACAAACTAATGGGGAAAAGGACCAAGAATATAACAGAAAAAAGTGAGAGTGATCTTAGTAACCTCATGCCTGACACTTTCAGTGTCAAATATGAGGGGATGTCCGACTGACAGCTGGACATATGATCTAGAGGTCAAGAGAGAAATCTAAGCTGCAAACAATGGTTTGAGAAGCAGCAGAATTTCAGGAATGTATGATACCATCACAATGATTGAAATGTCTCAGAGAGAACCAAAAATAAAGAAATCAGAAAAAGAAGGAACACAAAATCTCATGAAAAACTGACATTCACTGAGAAGAAAATGAGGAAATAAAAGTGGAGTAGCACAAAAAAAATAGAGTGATTAAAAAAATTTTTTTCCTAAGGACATGGAAAAGCTTAATAGTAAGAAAACCTATTGTGTATATGTGCTTCAAATATTGTTATCAAGCATATTTTTATTTCATTTCCACAAATGTTCAAAATATCTGGTATACTTCATTATTCTTATGCCTCTATGGGAAAAAAAAACTCCAGGATAATTTATACAAGAAAAATGTCTTTTATGAGACAGACTCTTGGTAACAAGGGTGCTGGTTCTAGTCCCAGCTGTTCCTCTTCTAATGTAGCTCTCTGCTATGGTCTGGGATAGCAGTAGAAGACAGCCCAAATCCTTGGGCCCCTGCACCCATGTGGGAGACCCAGAAGAAGCTCCTGGCTTCTGGCTTCAGATTGGTGCAGCTCTGGCCATTGTGGCCATCTGGGGAGTGAACCAATGGATGGAAGACCTCTCTCTCTTTCTCTACCTCCTCTGTAACTCTTTCAAATAAAAAAAAATATATTAAAGAAAAAGAAAAGCTAGGTAGAGTGAAGGTCTTTTCAGCTAAGAGCCAACAAGGTCTGCAGCTCTGAAATGGGGATCATTTGACCTCAGGGCAATTCTGTTTCCAGTGACCCAGCTCTTGGCTGGCAGAGCTAACATAGGAGACCCAGAAGAAGCCCCCAGTCCTGACTTTGGATCAGCTCAGCTTTGGCTATTGTGGCCATTTGGGGAGTGAACTAGTGGAGGAAAGACCTCTCTCTCTCGCTTGCTCTCACTCTCTCTGTCTCTACCTCCTTCTGTAACTCTTTCAAATAAATAAAAATAAATCTTAAAAAAAAAAAAACACACACACAAAAATAAGATTAGAAAAAAATGGGGTGGGGGGGCATTTAGTACAGTAGTTACCATGCTCTTCTGCATTAGAGTATTTGGGTTAGATTCCTTCTTTGAGACCTGACTGTAGTTGCCTGGTGATATGGATCCTGGGTTAACAGTGATAATGTATCAAGTATTTGGATTCTTTCCACCCACACTCTACACATGAATCAAGTTTCTGGTTAAAGCCATACCAGGCCCAGTCAACACAGGTATTTGGAGGGCAACCTAGCAAATGGAACTCTCTACCTCTCAAATACCTTTCTTGAAAAATAAAACAATAGGACTTTGAGGGAAACAAATCTGATAACTGCAGATGGGCAATATAGGTCAGAAATACCCACTGATTTCACTGGTAAATGAATCAACAGATGAACCACCACCATGAATAATGATGAGAACAAGAGTGACCATCCCGGCTGGCGCTGCAGCTCACTAGGCTAATCCTCCACCTTGCGCCGCTGGCACACCAGGTTCTAGTCCCGGTCGGGGCGCCGCATTCTGTCCCGGTTGCCCCTCTTCCAGGCCAGCTCTCTGCTGTGGCCAGGGAGTGCAGTGGAGGATGGCCCAGGTGCTTGGGCCCTGCACCCCATGGGAGACCAGGATAAGTATCTGGCTCTTGCCATCGGATCAGCGCGGTGCGCTGGTAGCAGCGCGCTGGCCGTGGCGGCCATTGGAGGGTGAACCAACGGCAAAGGAAGACCTTTCTCTCTGTCTCTCTCTCTCACTGTCCACTCTGCCTGTCAAAAAAAATTAAAAAAAAAAAAGAGTGACCATCTGTGTTATCCAGAAGTTATATTTATGAAGGTAATTTGAACAGTTTATGAAAACAATGGAATTAGAAAACAAATCTATTTTGTCACATTTTTGAAATTTATGCATTTTTTTCCTGATGCACATTTTCCATTAACTATTTTGTAAAATGTTGTCTGTACACAATGGCAACCTTAAGTATGTAACCTAAGTGTAAGTCAAATCATGTTTACCTCAAAGATGTAAAGCTTTAAAAAGAGGCTGGAAAACACAATAAGTAATAAATAATAAATATCAATTACTCTTCACTACTACAGGACTATAGGAAAATGTTGAACTCACAAATAATTCAATAATACAAGAGAGAAAGGGAATAGGAAGAAACAAGAAATTTAGAGGTGCATAGGAATAGAAAACAAAGCATTCTCATATTGCATTTCATGATTAATCTAGTTCTTAACAAAAAAACAGAGCAAGAAACATTTGGACATGCAGCACAATCATATTCTATTGCATAGTGGGTCTAAAATTAAAGTTATGATCATGGAAGTTATTGTTAAACCTGTAAATGGATGAAGCCAGATTCAAACAAATTCTTTCAATTATTCAAAATCATTCAAAGGAAAAAAACAGGGTACATCTAAAAATGTGGTTTAGATAATACAAAAAATAAGTAGACAAAAACATCACATGTCAAAAGCCTGGCTAGAATCATAAATACATATTTACATACAAGTACATTTTTGAGGGAGGAAGTGCCAGCTTAGTAAGGTAAATAGAGGTTGTTATGGTCTGCACAGAAAGACGGGGATTTACTTGTACTCTGCCCTAGAGGGTTGGTGGAGGGAGGGGTGCATATTTAGGCTCATGAAGCACTCCAATCTCTTCATTCTATATGGGACCAGACTCAACAGGCCAAGGTGGAGCACTGTATGACTTCAGTTGGAAGGGAGATGGTTCTGGGAATGCCATGGTTCTCTACATGGACAGGGAGACTCATAAGGTGATGAGTGGATCCCCAGTGATGCATGACTGTGGGGGCCCTACACCCTGTGACTATGCTATAGAGCATGAGATATAACTGGATCTTTGGGCAATCACTGGGTAAACAAACACATTGAGACTGAACAACATGCTCCCCAAATTAAAGAGAATAAAATATTTCTAAAAATGAAATAAGATGACAATACAATGTATCAAAACTTGTGGACTGCAGCAAAAGTAGTAAGAGGAAGGTTCATAGCAATTAGTGCCTACTTCAAAAAATTAGAAAGACATCAAATCAAATAAGTGCTCTAACAATGCATCTAAGGCATCTGGAAAACAAGAACAAACCTAACTCAAAATTAGCAGGAAGAAAGAAATTATAAAAACT